TCGTCCTCTGCTGGCTTCCTGGTTTGAAAAAAATCACCGACGTATTATACGTATCTCATTGCCGGGGTAGAAATGTTGTTTCTCAGCTTTCAGTGATTAGTAAAATAGAAATGGTAAAAGCAAAGGAAAACGGCGAATGAAATGACGTGAAACATAAAGAGGATATCTGAAGGAAAGATATCGAGACTCGGAGCTAATCCAGTCGTCTTGACACCGGCGGAACTCTCTTGGCCGATGTCGAGATTAATAGCGTTGGTTGCTCGTTTGCACAATGAGGCGCGACAATGACCTCGATCGATCGTTTCCTTTCCCTTATCCGGCTGGCGATTTGTCGTGTTACAGTGGGCAAGGTGATGGCCAAAGACGAAGCGGCTGGAGCCGGAGGCGCGGTCGCGGCCGCCGCGGTCGCCGCTGTCGAGAAGCATTTCGCGATGCACGGGATTTACGGGATACCGCCGAGTGCCGGCGCGATGCCTCCGTCGCCGCAGACTCAACGACCGATCAAGCACTCCGGTTCTCGAGAGGAGGCCACGCAGGACGAACAGGATTACCTGTCCACGCCGCACAGTAAGTACAGGCCAGGCGCGTCGATCGAAGATAGTATTATAATAGCGATGCGCTGCACATTGTCGTCGATCCGAACGCGAATGAAACGAACGTACAACGAGGACACATACTTGCGCTGGCAATTCTTTTAGACGGCACGGGCGAGATTGCATTGTACCTGAGATAAATAGAGATAAAGTACGTTCGTAGTTCGTACGTTCGAAATACTGAACGGACGTTCCGTTTCGGATCGTTTCGATGATTTCTCATAATGAGAAATGGCCGGCGGTGTCTTCTGCTGTTGCGAGTTATAACATGCCGCGATGTTCTGAAATTACAGTGTGGCGGGAGCCGGGTTACAAGGTACCGGAAGACATAACGGAAAAAGGTAAGCAGTCTTTTGACTAGCCACGCGGCTGACGTTTACGCTTTTGTTTCGAGAGCGCCAGGTGATCGCTCACGAAATCAGATTCGCTTCTCACGAGAGGGAGAGTAGTCAGCCGAGCAGTCGGCGAGCAACGTTGACATCTAACACGTCTTCTCTCTGTTCAGCTAAAATGGTGAGACAGCAGAAGAGGGAGGGTGAGAACAAGCCACATATCAAACGACCTATGAACGCGTTCATGGTGTGGGCCAAGGACGAGCGTAGGAAAATTTTGAAAGCCTGCCCGGATATGCATAATT